TTTAATAAACATAAGACAATAATATAATTATTAATTAATATTAAAATAATTTAAATATATAATACAAATAAGTCGAGAAAATTAATAAAAAAATAAAAACGCGTGCGAAATTAATTTACGATTTTACACAAAAAACGAGCCAATAACGCGAAAGAGCGTGAAGGAGTGAAGCGGCAATAAACGGAATGTTCGGAGAGCGAAGTAGATCAAGCGGCGTTTATCCCCGATATTCGAAGAGCGTGATTAATGTGATCGAAACGGGCCGGCATTTTTGAATGAGAATAAATCATAATTAACGATCGCTTCGATTAAAATTTTAGTTAAATTTTAAGATCGAAATATGATTCTACGAATGTTAAAGTGAACGATTAAGCGAATAATATAATAGTGAAACTCGTTTGCAGCCGCACCCTGATAGAGTCCGAGAGAGAAGAGAGGGAGAGAGAGGAGCGGCCGCTTGTAAAGTATACAGTGAAGCTGGTGGTAAGTTTGAAGTACTGTGTTTATTTTCGAGTACCTTTATAAGAATTCAAACCGAAATCGCATTTAAATAATAATATGTGACATAAATAGAAGCAATAGACGTAACGTATATGCTTTTAGTAATCCCGTCTAAAATAATATAATTTGTGTTTTTAATTCTACTGTTTAATTTTTATTTTATGCAAATTTCTATTTATAACACTTGGAAAAAAATCTGTCTTAATCATTGCCGTAATTAATATAATATAATGCAGATAAACATTATTTTAATGCATTAAATTAATCCCTTGTAATTGATGATTATTATGATCAATTCTTGTTTAATTCACAGATCATTATGATCAATGCTTGCTTATTTCAAGATCATTATGATCAATGCTTGTTTTATTTAAAATCTTAATGATCAATACTTGTTAAGATACAGAAATCATGTTTTTAAAATATGAAATTATTGTTTGTTAATTATTTTTTTAATATGTTTTTCGATTCATTTTGTTGTGTTCATTAGTACAGGTGATTTGCTAATATTTTTAATAATACAGTTTGTATCCTGTCGTTATCGTTTAGTAACATGTAACATATACATTGTTAATATGTTATATAGGATAATGCCTGGTGGGTTATGGATATAAATACTTTCAGAGGAAAACATGAAATAATTTAATATATAAATATACTGTCTTAGTTTTTAGTATGTAAATTTTTATTTTACAGGAAAAATGAAATTTGATTGTAGTAGTTATAATAATAGCTATAGTTTTTTTTTCTTTATCATTAGTAAGGATATAAAATAGGTTATATGGATTTTAAATCAGTTTATAAATATATGTATATATATTTTCTTTCTAAATATATATTTGAAATTTGTTTATAAAGATAAATAAATTTTATTGAGTTATATAAATTAAGTATATATATTTTCATATATTTGACATGTTAAGTCAAGATTCTGATGGTATTTTTCAGATAGGATAGTAACCAGATAAAAATTTATATTAAATTTAATCTCCTAATGTATTGAAAACAAAATTTAATATTTTAGTTTTCTTTACAATTCACTAGATTGACAAAGAAAAAATTATAACCACTAAAAATATCAAATATTTTATATGTAAGCAATTTAAAATTATTATGTGTCTTATTTATATTTTTTGAAAATAATCTATGTTGACATATTTAAAATTGATTAATGTATATTTATTGTACTATTAAGTTAATATTTTAAAGCTTATTAGTTCTTCAAGCCGCATTACTAATAATTAATTAATTAATTAATACTTTCTACGCAGAACTATTATTATGATTGATTTTTATATTCTTTAAATTAAATTATTTAATTTCTTGGAGGAGAAATCAGGTTATGATTTGGATCAATAAATTCTAAAAAGTCATTTTAATTTGTAAAAGAAAACCAGAAAATTAATACTTTCTGTTAAATTTCAATTAAACATTTTTTTTTGTTTTTTAAATCAAGCCATACCATTTACATAAATGGAATTTAATTTGTGTGTTAAATCTTCAATAATTTTCGAAATTTAATTAGTTTTCTTAAAAAATTGCCATTTAATTATCATACAACCTTTTAATGATAATATTTATCAGTAAAATAAATCTGAATTATGTAAAATTTATAATTTTAATTGGGTTCAAGTATTATTCAAACTTTTGAAATGATCAATTAAATTTTTTATATATAATCTGAACATATATACTGTTTATATTGTGCTTCATTGCCTATTTACAGAGATACTGTACAACTGTAATACATATTATTAACTCGGGTGCGGGAAACAGAACAGATGAATGTCCCCCGTATCCGTATTTAAATATCCAACGTCGATAATTCGACATCCTTTTAAACAGTATATTTTTAGTTCAAGTGACAATATCGACACATGAAGTACCGTTATTTCCTATCTCTCCATCATAAAGAAACAATTTTCAATACGGTTTTTGTTCGGGAGTCATTTTGTTTAACGTTAAGTTAATTTTTATATCAGTTTTAATTCTCAGAAAACCGTCGGAGAATTCCCATTATACCGTTTCTTTAGTACAGTAAAATCTGGTTTCACGCTTGCGCCTTGCTGAATGATGTCATCCATAAATACGATTTTGGTAGGCGACGCTTTGACTAGAAATATATTGATCGAGTGGGGAAATGCAACTATTTGACTAAATACTATCCTAATCAATGCCGTATCTCGTGTGTGATTCGTGTCTCTCTCTCTTTTTTTTCAATAAAAAAAAATTCTGTTTCCTTAATTTGTTATTTGGATTTAACTGCAAAATATGTGGCGAATGCACGGCCTTGCGATTATGACGTCATCCTATAAGTTACGTTATTGTAAAATGGTAGAAAGTGCCAATGTTCTGAGTGCTGTTGCTATAATTAGAGAGTTGGCACTCAATCTTAGTTTGCTTATTAAGAGATACAGAGTTTGAAAGCATGTTTTATAGCTTTTTTTAATATATTTTCCCCCTTTTTTTATTTCCACTCGAGATTCAATTGTTAATTATTGTACTCAGTCGAATAATCACTTCTTGAAATGGTTATTATGATTTTAAATGGGATAATTAATTAAATAAAGATATATATACATCAAGGTTATAAAATAGAGAGGAAAAAAAAACCAATTTTAATAGAATATTCTATGATTTGTTTTTATTTGTATAATAATTTAATATTTGGGTTTCTGCTTGAAATTTATTTTCAAATGTCACTTCAAAAGGGCTGTGTAAACATCTGGCGCCATAAATATGAGTTTAGGAAATGGATTAGGAATTTTTCACTTTAATAGGATTTTAGGGGTTTATATATTGGTAAAACTCGGAGAAAAATATTTGACGAATTTTGTAAATATATAGAGAATAAGCTTCGGCTTACAATTCTTAAATAGAAGTTTATCCCGCATCTGTTCAGTGTTAATTTTTATACTTCCTCCGTACATTTCCGTACTTTTTGCTGAGCTTCGGATAATGACATTTCTATCATTTAAAAACAAATCTAAACTCCGAATAGAATTTTCTTTAGAATATATTATATTTCCTGAATAAAAATGAAATTTGCTGTATGATTCTGGATGCTGTTCTTAATTAATATGTAACTTATAATTGTTTTAAGTTAAATTTATTAATGTAAATAAACGTTTTTTTTTTTTTTTANTATGTAATGAAATATTCTATGTAATGCTTCTACTTAAAATTTCCTAGTTTAAATATAGCTTGTGGATTGTTAAAGTTCAGTTTTTCATAGATTTTTTTGTTTTTTTTGGTTTTTTATACTAAATTGAGCGTAAAAAATTTTGAACATAAAAACAATATTACTAAATTGACAAAGTTATTGGATTGTAAAATCAACATGACACAATTGAGGCATATCAAATTTGATGAATGTAATTTTTAAATGATGTACAGTATACATTCCAACCGTTTTAATTTATTAATTAGATCAATTAAACTAAATAAATGGTTTTAATAACTTTTAATTGTTATACGGCATAAATACTAAGACTTTTATGTAGGCAGATGCCCACAACATTGTTAAATGTATAGCGATTAACATATTACATAACTAAATAACCTAATATAGTTAAATATATACAGTATATTTTATTTTTGTTACAAAAAATTACTTCTAAATATTTAATTTATTTCGAATTGTTATATGTAACTTATAATTGTTTTAAGTTAAATTTATTAATGTAAATAAACGTTTTTTTTTTTTTTTAATTAAAATGAGGAGCGAATAAGATATTTATTTCATTGTAATAAACATTCAATTTGTAAGAATTTAATGAAATTTATGATGAATAATTCAGTTTAATCCACTCTTGTATTATATAATTGCTATTTAATTGAGATTTCTTATAAATGTATTATAAAATTCAACAAAATCAAAGTGTCGGTTAATTTACTTTGTTTAAAACAGTACCTGTTGGTCCTACAGTTTGTTTATTTGGTTTCCATAGAAACACCGTGGGAAAATGTATTCGTAACCGATAATTTGAATTATCCCTGCATGAATTGGGATTTTTTTCCCTCCCTCTTTTAAATTAGGATAACGCATTGCCTAGGTTGCCAACAAGCAAAACATTTTGGTTCAAAAAGATGCAGTGTATCTAGTTTCTCTTTGCCACCTATCATCTGCCGAAAAAGATCGTTGCCAAAATAAATCCACTGAAGACCCGATAACGTATATAGTATATAAACAGTGTATATATATATATATATACACACACATATACAAGTTAATTACGATGTAATGCTGATAATATATAGATGTTTTTTAATTGTTTCCATTAACGGCACCGCGGGTTGCACTATAAAAAAAAAAAGCAAAATGAACTCAAGGTCATGTACTGTACATTATTAGCTTAAGGGAGTGCAAGGTTTGATATACAGCTTTGAAAATCCTGTATGTCGTCCGAAATCTCGAAAATATTTATTATATAAACAAAATTTTCAAATAAAAAGATTTAAAATATAGTTCCAGCCTTGGAAGGGGGGAGTGCTGCTTATTAATTAACCTCCTAAGGCTGACGATCGTTTGATTTTGTAAATTAATGACAATATCTCTGATTGTTCTATTAATTTTAAATTAAACAAAGCGTTAAAGACGTCCAGTCGTCAGTTTATTTTAGAATGTAATCTGATATCGCTTGTTACATGCCTGATTATTAAATTAACGGATCATGTATCGAATGTAAATATTTGCGAATATGGCAAATCTGGGACTTTGACACTCAGTCTGGGTTCTTTTCAATTAGATTAGAAGTTACTAAAATTATACTTTGTTATTAATACAATTGTACTAAAATTAAAAAATGTCAAAATATACGGCATCGTATATTTTACACATGAAATACGCATGATGAAAGATTGAATAACTTATACACAACATCATTTTCTTGAAGTAAAAAGATTTCCAGATACAATCTGCTATTACAGAAATCCTTTTTAAGTGTACATCGAGGATTCTGCGAATTTATTTCAGATGAAAC